TCGAAACAAGTTGAAAGTGGCAGTATTTTCGCTCGATGCGACGGTGAGAATATACCGTCACTCGAAATCGCAAGAGGGAATGTTTCACTGAAGCTTAGAACGGATTTCGACTTCATACGAGTGAATGTTTCAATCGATTAGAGTGAACATGTCTCTGTGAAATTCTCCAGATTCGCTCGACAGTTTCGAATGATAATATTCACTCGGCAATTCAGATCGGAGAATTCAACCTGTATAAGTGAAGGATCACTCGAATTTGAATGATTCGATGGTCACTCTACTTTACGAGAATGCAATTTCACCCCAACAAATCTAGCAAATATGTTTATTGCTTATTTTATCATGCTTTATCTCGCTGATGTTTTTACATGAGATTTTATCAGTCCAACGAGATAGTAAGATTCTTTGATTAAGATCACACAAATAAATATAATAAGAACGATAAAAGTCGATTTGCAGAGGTGTAATTTGCTCGTATTTTGCAATACAAAGTACATGCAGATAGAAATCAATAAAATATCAATCAAACGTTTCGACCATTTCTTGTGATTATCCTCAGCCGAAATTACATTGTCCAACATCATTTTGTGGCACGAATATGATTAGTCACTTTCGATGTATTTTTATATGTTTAAGATATGGAAGTTTAAGATATGTTTAAGATATGAAAAGATATAATCTTAACGATATACTTAATGATATACTCTTGAAAGATGTAGAAATATAAGATTATAAATCTTCCTATCACATATTGTATTTTATCAATTTCATATTGTTTTTTGATTTGATATAATCCGATTATATTATGTATTATATTATATTATATAAATACAAAAGCACTTACTTTCCAAATAATGCATTATTAAGGTGAAATAAAATGCCTTTTCTCTATATATTATATGGGAAAATAGCTATTTTCATATTTATCTCGAAAGTGAAAAATCGTACCGAAACGAAATAAAATGCATCTTATAGTTAAAAATCGATACTTTTGCGTGACATTAACGAAATTTTGAAAGAAATTTGTTGCTACAGCATCTTGAAAAATTCTCAAAACTATCGTTTTTGTCCTCTGCTGGGTAATTCTTCTCCAAATTCTGATGTACCGATATTATAATCAAATTTGGATAACGAATTTGTGTTTAGCAGGTAAAAATACATCGGAAATAACTATTCATACTTGCGATGCAAAAAATGGTCAAGTTTTTCCAGACAGAGTTATTAATATAAAACGGATTGTAACGGTCAGTAGCGAAGTAGGTCATAAAACGCGTGTAAGCAAAATAGAAATCGAGCCTCAATTGAAATTTGTTGATGAAAGTGCAGATGACATATGTAGATAATCAATCTCGGTGGATATCCTTCCGGTGTTGGTAGACCACTTTTAGGATCCTCAAAATAAAACCATCGCGATAAAATATCGTTGTTTATAGACGGAGACAAAAACGCTTCGCGCACATCCGGAAGAATTCAAATTTAATGGCAGTCATTTGGAGAATAACAGTATGGTCAAATTATAAAACGATTATAAGTCGTTTTATAACAGACTTGTCCACGAAACGTCGAAAACAAACATATAAAGGATGCGGCACTAATTCGGAAGCCGGATCAAACATTTCTCCTATCGCGAAGTCAAAAATATCATACGAGGAAAACAAGTTTTGCTGGAACGTCAAATTATTAATATAGTGACGACAAAAAAGTTTGTTACATGGAAAAAATAATTTTGCTCTTGTAGCAAAACGTGCGACAGCAACAAAATTTAGTTGGCATAACCAAATTATTGGTCCATATATTCAGCAAATAGCAAATAATATTTTTAACAAATCTTTCTGCTGTTCAAACAAATTCTTTTGCTATCACTATATTAACAAACAATTTGCTCTTCTAGCCGCGTCCTTTATACGTTTGTTTTCGACGTTTCGTGGACAAGTCCGTTATAAAATGACTTATAATCGTTTGACTACTGTTGTTCTCCAAATGACTGCCATTAAATTTGAATTCTTCCGGATGTGCGCGAAGCGTTTTTGTCTCCGTCTATAAACAACGATATTTTATCGCGATGGTTTTATTTTGAGGATCCTAAAAGTGGTCTACCAACACCGGAAGGATATCCACCGAGATTGATTATCTACATATGTTATCTGCACTTCCATCAACCAAATTTTTTTCTCCGTGCGCGTCGTTCTATAAATTGGTCTCTTTATAAATTATGAATTACGTCTGCAACGGCTCTTACTGTCCTTATTCATTTGTTTGATTAAAGTATGTCCCAAAGTCGTTTGTGTAACTATATTATATTTTTCTGGTACGGATAAGTTGGATCAACCAGCTACCCTATATAACGTCCATGAGTATGCAAATGAAATAATCGTTCCACGCTTAATTGCTAATAACTAACGATAAGCACGCGGTAATTATTATTATTATGATCATTATTATCATCGGTGTATAAACGAAAGACGTGAAATAATATGAAATAAAAGTCCGCATTACATCGCTTCTCTGCGTGGATTTAACGTCTTGTCTTTACGAGGCCGCGTTCCGCCCGGCGAAATTGCGTTTCTTTTTACGTCCCTTCGGGAACACACGGTATGTACCGTACGCTAAATCGAGCAAATAACCGCGCCGCATAAGCCTATCTTCAGGCAGTTGCGTTGATGGTGCATCGATCGTATAACCCAAAGGTTACGCGAGTTCGAGCGACGCGAGGATACGTTGTCCGGATTTACTCCGCGGTTTGCGCGGAGAGGTACCCCGTTGTGTTTTCCGCTCGGAAAACCCGGACGCGTACCTCGAGGCCGAGGATTAAAGGCAACGATTTCGCCTTTGATTTTGACGAGGTCACGAGAGAAGCCCGCCTCTGCCTACCGCGCGCGGGAGGGTCCGCCGCCAGAAACTCATGAATAATTGAAGAACAAAGAACACAGGATTATCATAATGTGTGAATGACGCGGTGGGAAATCTTCATCAAGGTACAGCGAGGATGGCGTGATCTCTACCGTCCGTTTACGTTGCCGTAATTCTCATATGCACTGCTCCTCTTATCCGTCGAGGTTAAAGCTTGCACACACAAGACCGGCGAGAGAGAGAGAGAGAGAAAGACATTGTCTCTTTCGTAATTTTTCAAGAAAATTCCACGGAGCGTGCTAAATTAAAAGATTTAAAAAAGTAAGAAACTTAATGTAATTTTACGCGTAATTGCAGCAAATAAATTAATCACGGAGAGAGAGAGAGAGAGAGAGAGAGAGAGAACAGGTGATATATGATTTAAAATGAATATGAAGCGAATTGTATGAAATATAAAATAAATTAAAATATATATGCAGATATGCGAGCGAAATCATTTTCGCTCGGAAGCATCGCTCTTCGTCCCCTTATCTCCAATATATACAATTGACCCGATTATTATACTTGCTTCATCTTTTACTATCAGGCTCAATAAGCGGATCTCGTAAAAACCATCGTTTCCCAGCATTTCCAGCGAGTCCGTAAATTATGAAAAGAAATGACGCATGACGCGAAACGAGCGGCTTGGCAATTGACGCGAACACCATCTATCAATCCGCGTCTATCCGTTAACGATTTCCACGTTAGATAATAGCTGGCTCGCATTACTCGTCAGATGTTACGCGATTAAAATGGGATTATATACGTGGACATTAATGATGCGCATAATTATATGCATAATCAACGATGCGGGAAGAGCCGTTAAATAATATAAAATGTAATTCCGTCGCGTATTTCAGGGTAACTCGAAGCAGGAACTCGCTGCGAGTCCGCATCGGCAGTTCTCCGTATTTTTCAATTTTACCAGCGTCAATTGAACAATTCATCATTTATCGCAAATTTCTAAAATGACGCTGTAAGAACGGAAAGTAGCGTATACATCGTTCGCGCCGGCGTTCGAGAAAATATGAGAAATAGGGCGCAAGAGCGGCGCTGCGGAATTTTTACGCATACTCTCCTCGTGAATCATTAGTTGAAAATCACTTTATAGCCGAATACTTCCAAAAGGCGTCCAAAGGTTTAGCTGAAACGGTCCCTTTTTCGACCTGTTCCCGGTCACTCTTCATTCGAGGGTCGGTCCAGGTAAAATTCTCGGTCCGCGCGGAGTGCGTCAGTTGTGTCGGGCGCGATAATTTAAATCTAACAGCGGCGGGATAACATTGTTCGACAGTGTAATGCACGCGCCGGCATGTATTTCCATCACTTTCTACGTACACGCGGTACTATGCAGTAGCCATTTATATTGAAAAAAAAAAAACTCGGTCCGTGTAACTGACTTTCCGTTGTTTGGGGATCAAAAACTCGAAAACTCGATTGCGAGGACGGAAAGATTCCTGCAGGAGATATCTGTCAAAGTAAAATATTTATCTAATAAAATGCTCTCACACACAGTTATCTAAACCGAATTATAACCGAATATTCAGACGAACGTGTTGATTCGCGATAACAGAGTATCAATCGTTTCTTGTCGCCGAGTTTCCGTTCGGTCTCCGTTTTGCGAATTTTTAATTTTTAAATGCACACGAGATTTTTTCCTCCTCGCACCACGTTACGTGTGGTCTGACCCTTTATCTCGCGAATAATGTGGCCTGTTCTTTTCAGCTGAACTGGCCGTGCTAGTTCGCGAAATTTTTTCCGCACACCGAAGCATGAGAATCTCGCACGTACGCTTCCATACGCTTCAATGTGTATGTAAATTTCTCCAACTGGTGCGGCCAGTTCAGCTAAAAAGAACAGACCGATTATTTTCATACTAAACGAGCTATAAGATTTAAATTATCGCGCCCAGCATCCGGCGACGGTTCTCACTAGCCGCAATCTTCCTTACTTTTCTTATCTTCAGAGTCCTTGCAGGATCTTTGTTCGGACGTATCAGGTATAGCTTCGAAGTTCGACGTGTCCCCTCTAGATGCTCGTGCATCATGACTGTCGGTTGAGAAGTCCGACCGCATTTCCCCCCCCCCCCCCCCCNCACCCCCCGAATGAAAATCCCTGAGTGAGGATCGTGCGTTACGCAATCGGCTCTTCGTTTCTCAGCTCTGTTGCGTTTAATCGTGCTCACGCATCGAGTACTCGCACAATTGTCCTCTCGTACTTTCATTCGTTTCCACGAGTATCGATATATCGATATACCGATCGAGGGATCTATTTCGAGACTTCCAGCATCTTGCAGTAACAAGAAGGCGGACTCCTTTCCGGCGGGGCGAAGACGCGTGAATAGACAGTGACATGTCCTAAGGCTACGTGCTGATTCACTCCCGATCGGCAGCTGTCGGTCTCTCGGTATGCGTGCTCGCTGATCGCATCATTCAGTGCCCGAAGGACACGCGTTCGTGTAACGCTAACGGCCATTGGAAGAAATTACAGGTACGAGACGATTAGGAGAGGGAGAGAGAGAGAGAAAGGGAGAGAAACACTCACCTCTTGAAGAGCCATAAACCAAGAGCCACTTCAGGAAAGGCATCTGTTTCTTTCTGAGGTTTTCTTCTGAATATTTAACCTTGCTCTCACGCGAACGTAGACGCATATTTTGCTCTCTTCTCATCGCTGATATTCGACTCGAGAGAAGCATCCGGAGCGACGAGGATCCGTCGGAATTTTTGCGCCGAGCGTCGTCGTGTGTGTAAAGGAAATTTGATGAATTTATTGGAAGCGAAAACGCACGTTTCCGGAAACACGCGAGCTGGACGAGTCAAGATCACGACTTGGTTATCGTTGGTCTGCATAAATAATCGTTAACGCGGCATTGAAACGAATACCGCGGATCGATATTACGTCAATACTGCGAAGTCAAACATGAAGTCAAATATAATTTCCTCGTATTACCAATTACCGTACATATCTGCGCTTGCAGCAGCTGAGCTTCGTGCGGACAGACGTGCCGTACATGTGTACGCGCGCGTGTGTGTGTGTGTGTGTGTGTGCGGGCACGCGTGAATGCCGGCGATGAGTCAGTGTCCCCTTCTTAATTCTTCTTCGTACATGCAGCATAATTAGCGCAACACTCACTGCGGACTCGTTTAGTCATCCCCCCGTTGTGGATATTGTCTCGTCGCGAACTCCGCGAGGATGCGAAAAACCGGCGGCCTGGTTTGACGTTGTTTTCCTCGCGAGGTAAGTCTCTTTCTCTTTCACACACACACACACATATATTTCTTTTTTCTTTCTTTCTTTCTCTCGCTGGCGACTCTTCTCATCCCACGCGACTCGCATCGTCGGGTGAGATTATGTATGCAGTTACGGCCGTGGCGTGTTGATCCGCAAGAAAAATCCGTAACTTCTTGCTTCGAGCTTTTCCTCCGGAATACGCGCGCGACTCCCTCTTCTCCCCTCCCCCCTGCTACCTTCCTCGACTGAAGCGTCTTTTCACGGAAGTTTCATTGAAAAGGCTACACCGTCCGATGCCCGTAAGTTTTCGAGAAATACGTCTTTCATAAGTTTGCGCGAACTCGGCCGGATGCACAGGCAATGCCCTCGGATACGCGAAAAATAGATCCGTGCCGCTCATCCGAACCAACAACTGAGAAAATAATGCGCGCGCTGCCGGAGACGGTTAACGGCGACAATCCCACGATATCTTTTATCGTCACTGTGAGAGTACCGTAATCCTTTAACCACCACTGTTCATTAATTTCGACACGTGCAAACACGCTCAACGAGCGAATGAGGAAAGCGAATCGTAAAGTTTCGTTGATAAAAACGAGGCGAATACGCGAGAACTATTTTTTTTTTGAAAGCGGAAGAAAGAAGCCATCCCGAGTTGAAATTTTGATGCTACTTTGACACTCTTAGGGATACTTTCCTCCTACTTAGATGGCTTACAAACTTATGAAAATCGACTTTGACTATAATATTACACTGAGAAAAGAGTACTTAAAAATTTATTCGTGGTATATAAAGTTTATTTCACAGAAATAAGGTTTAATAATTTGTAAATAATTTATTTCTATGAGAGAAATAAACCTTATATCCCACAAATAAATGTTTCAGTACTTTCTCCTCAGTGTGCTTTGATACTGGTACTTATTAACTCCCTTCCTGAGCCTTCATTCTGTAGATTTAATTTTATCGCTATTTTGAACAATCTATTTCGACGCTACAACAGCGCAAACCAAACTTTACAACATTATTAAATTAGGAATAAAAGTTATATTTTAAAATTGGAATAAAACCTACCTTGCTATTTTTCCTACAATTCTTACTGTGCTGCAGAATTAAACGTTTAACATAGAGCCAAAATTTCGACTCGGCACATATATGAAACAAAAAAGACAAAGTTGCACGATATATTGAAACTGAACTGAACGGTGGCGTGCTTATGATTAATACAGAACGGAATATTTGTGAAGAAGTTTTGTTTTATTATTATAAAGCGTTTATATTCTTAATAATATAAAACGGCGAAGAAACAGATATATGTAGACGTCGGACACGCGGTTTCTGCGACTAGGAGACCAGTTGTTGATTTTTTGCACTGATTGTTAGCGAGGGACATCGCGTAGCTCGCGATTATTAGGCGGCCTGTCGTTATCGCGGCTAGTTGCAGATAGCAGCGGGTAGGAGAGCAAAGCAACAGATAATTGCACAACGCACTCACGACGGTAACGCTTCGGCCGATATCGGCGGTGACAAGTTGCTAGAAGGTGTTAATCCATCTTACGTTCACGCTCCGATCCACGATTCCTCGCGACACGATGAGAGTGGACAGGAGCAGTAATTTGATTACCGCGGGCGAGACGCGCGTTAATGTTTTATTCGGCTCTCGCGATTGGCGCGGAGTCTATCGATTTTCGACGGCTGATTGACGATGATCGGGTAATTCGACCGAATAAAAACACAGGAGAGAGGGGGGAGGGGACATTAAAGCTTCATTTGCGGCGGGCTAAGCTGATTCTCGATATCAGAGACAGAGAGACGTATTTCGGAAAAATGACAGAAACTGATAAATGACAGAATAATCGCCGACGAATGTGAGCGTTGTCCGAGGTATAAATTGATGTATAATCGACGACCCGTATTTGATAAATGCATGTCGCCCATGCGAGGAGGATCACGGTACGATTGCATTGTATAATTTTGATCAATGTCATCAATTTCGAGAGAATTCTTCTTAACAATTCGACGACCGTTCTCGCATGCACGTGATTTTATTCTACCGGAGGTTATCTTATAAAGAGATACTCGTCGATAATATCAGTTAATAATTAAATATCAAAAATTATGTAAAGGTAGATTTACGAATTTATATAAGAGAAATTATTCAGAAGAATTATTAAGGAGAACGTTCGTCCCTTTAAGTATGATCTGGGTCAGCTGTCAAAATCCACCGGCGGCAGGTGGCAATTTTTCCACGACGAGCGCGACCGTCAAAGTATTAAGAAAATATTGAGTGCCAGAATTCACTAGAAATTTTTGGATTGCTATTGTTATCTCCAGCTACATAGAATCATAAATCATAAATTCTTATAAAGGCATATTTGTCGATAATAACAGTCAATAATTAAATATAAGGAGCCATGAAAAGGTAGATTTATGAATTATGTAGGAGAAATTATGGAGAATTATTGCATGATAATAATACATACGGTAATATAGCCCGGGCTGGTCGACTTCTCATACCGAAAACAAAGAAAGTTTAAGAATTGTATTTCTTTTTGCTAGTTTTTATTTCAATATGGCGTCTAGAGTTATCAACGAAAGATAATATTTGCTTCATGCAAAAGTTCTGCAGGTTATGCGAACAAAGGAAAACCGGGCCGGGGTACAAACTGTGCTGTAAAATATTTAACCGTTAGGAGCTCAGGAGCCTGATTTTGTTTTAATATGCGTGTACACACACTAACGCATTGCTCATACGGATGTAACAGCGAGAAGCTTAGTTGGATAAAAACTGACTATCAATTGTTTTCGTTCCTCGTGCACAAATACACATCTCGTATGTCTAATGATATCGATAATGGCAACATAATGTTGCCAATAACTTGATTACCGACACTCCTGTCGGAATTCAGCAACCATTCCGATATCCCCTTAATATTGAAATTTGCTCTTTAGCGATTTCACATTTATGTAAGCGCATATTTTTATAACTGACATCTGACTGGAAAGAATCATCCGAAGCGACAATCTAACAGTTTGCTAATAATGAACCGACCAGAAATACAGACGAAACACTCTTTTTTTCTGAAAAATCGACATTGACAAGTCAACCGTACAAATACCGTAACATGACGTGATTTTTCCGTTCATGCCGAATTCACGTGACATTCATTTCACGTGTCATTCGTCCGTGCTGATGATACGACTAATTTGTAGAAATAGGAATCGTCAGCACGTAGGACGAACTAAACCGCTCAATGTATCGAGGACAACCGTATCGGCATGGATTCTGAAAAGATTAGCGGACACGGTTGAGAGCAATGACATAATTGTGATATCTTTTCGGCCACGGTGATAAGCCCGTATCCATGACCACCATTAAACACTAATACCGTAATAGTAGCTGACTAAGCGCCGCTCTTTTTACGCCCTCGTGTCGCCCGGCAAACTTCTCCCGTGCTTCTTCCTCACTACTGAAACACGGGAGTAGCATTAGCCTGCCGCATTCAATACATATTCCCGTGACTTTTACCGTCTCGGTAATTGTTATAAATCTCCTGTCAATACAGCGGAAGTTGCGTTTAATAAATTACGCACGCCGTTCCGATAGATTCGCTCAGCGGATTCGCGAAAATACGCTGAATATTACAATTACATCGAAAAGAAAGAAGTGTTACCGTTCAAGCAATATTTACTTGATTCAAATAAAATGATTACTCCAATACTCCTTCGCAAATATTTATCAGAAGTAGAAATAAAATTGACTGCGTGTGATATTTTCTTCGTATAAGTTGACATTTATTTGTACGTGTTAAAATAATTGCAACCAGTATTAAATTCATAATATTGAAAATATCGAAATTTATTTTCAGAAAATATTTACTAGACAGAAAAATCGAAATTCAAAACTATTAAGTTTCTTTAGTGGAAAAGAAGTATTATATAATTCTAGTAAAGACTCTTTTAAATTTAGAACCATTTTATATTTATATTCAGTAATTCATTTATAAATTAAAGTATTACTGCGTTTAAGTAAATATTTACTGAAAGCTATTAAGATATAAATTAGAAATAAATTAAATTGATAAAATTAAATTGATAAAAATATCACTCGATTTAAGAGACTGAAATACAGATAATTTTACGTTTACTTGATTCTAGCACTTTTTTTCGCTATGTAATATCATTTGGCTCGAAATAACGTCTACGGGATATGCAGCTTATAATAGCGTGTTTTGTGCTTCTATCATTCCCGTTCATTATTTATAACGCGCTTATGCGACGATAATTCACTGCGGCAATCACGCTTCGCTTTCGTTCTGATTAAAATATGTTCGGCGTGATTAAATCATCTATTATATAATTCTAACAAAGGAAGGATCCGAAACATTGTCGCAAAAAACACGGTGTGTGATACATCGTTCATACTCAATGAATACTGGCTAATGCTAAAATTTTAGCTGCTATGGACTATAAATAAATAAAATTTATATGCCAAAATATGTTTAATGGGGAGATATATGGGAATTGTCCAAGTTTGTCTATTTATGGGCATACATTATAAAACTTGCTACAAAGAACAAAAATATGAAGATATTTAATTATTGAATGATCCAAAGAAAAGTAGCCCTCTCACAGTAAGCACATTTGATGAATGCAGTTTTATCGCAATCTTCTCAATAACATTTCTCAATTAGATCTGATTCAGAATAATATTCGAGAGGTATTTTGAAGTATCCAGGATGAATATTGACATAACTACACTTAAAAGGTGTAAAAAAAGCAAGGTCAAAAATGGTAAGAATTAAGAAATAACAATTAACAATTTGAAATTAATCATTAACTGATCGAAACATAATACGTATGAACAAGCCTCTAAAATTGCTTTCCTTGTTGTCCATGGCAGCTAAAATTTTAGGTATGAATATATACAGAGAAAATATTGTAGTAAAAATTACTACAAAATTTTGTAATGTTGGAACATATTTTGGAATTACGACTGAAATTACGATGCATATTGTCATCTTTAGTGATATATTTCATTGCATTGCATATCATTAAAAATTACAACACATGATAATTTCAGTCATAATTCCGGGGTATGATCTAACATTAGAAAATTTTACAGTAACTTTACTACGATATTTTCTCCGTACATCTTATGACTTACTACCTAAATACTACATATTTTGATTTTGTAAACCGCGACAACCTTCTTTTGTAAAATTCCATCATTAAAAGGCCTTAATTTATTAAAAGAACTGAGAAATATCGAATGTCAACGGAGCGCCTGAACATTCCCTGAATTGTCGTGATTATGTTTCGCGCGTGTTACCATGGATCGTGTTTAGTTCTGATCGGCGTTGCGACAACAATGCCCGAGCCTGCAGCTTTCCCGGCGTATTGATCGATCGATATCGACGTGACCTAGGGTTCGTTCAAACAGCATGTCTCGGGAAGTAGCGGAAGCACGCTCGATCGTCATCGAATTGCAGCTGGCACCGACGTTGTCGCACTTTTGCGTATTCCGCGCGCTCGGAGTGAACAACTCTCTCTCTCTCTTTCTCTCTCTCTCTCTCTCTCTCTCTCTCTCTCTCTCTCTCTATCTATCTATCTATCTATCTATCTATCTATCTATTTCTCGTCTGTCACGGGCAGTTAAATTTATAAAATTTTGCGGCATTCTCTCGTCGGCATTTCACCGATCGCCTGATACATGGTACGCTAATTATCTCCTCCTAGCGGATTGCCAATTAATTCGAGAGTATATCGTACACGACATTACGTCGAGATCGCGCTCGAGACGCTTCTATCACATCGACCACAATATCAGAAACGCAAATCTCGCGCTTAGAAAGAAAAAAAAAATACCTCTATATCGCTCGCCGTTATATACTTATCGCACGTGTTGCGAGTAATTGTCGCATATAGTCGAGCCTTTGATAAACACTGTGACCAGTGACGGACTGATAATCGTATCTCCGACTTGTGTTCCCGAAGCCAGCGCATCGGGCACAGCGGCAGGCTCGCCGAAGGGTGAACGTCAAAAAGAGGAGCAGTTCGATTGTACTGAGGAATCAGCGGACCCGGCCAGTTCAGAGATGGGTTGCTGCGGATGTGCGGACGAGCCATCGTCCAAAGTGGAGCCCACGGTAAGACAATTAGGGTTGTTGTGATTCCATGAATGTGTTGTTACTAATATTAAAACGGATATCTAATCAAGAAGTACCGATATCATAGTGATATCAGTAGTAGAACAAAAATATGGACATTGATACTGGTGTCGAAACTCGAAATAACTTAAAATTAAAGGGAGTGTAAAAATTCAGGGAAGTGTTTGTCTTGCAAATTATTTTGGAAAGTTTCGTACGTATAATAATCTTACTGCGGTATAAACATACTTCTACTTTCTTCATTAGGCTTTCTACGGCTAGTGGTATAAAAACCTTAAAAAGAATTGTCAAACATAAAATTAACGTAACAGAAATTATAAGAGAAGATAGATTTACAACGTAAGTTGCATGTTATATTGATTTTCATGAGGCAAAAATACATGATATTTTGAAGATCGACTGAGTGAAAAATACAAAGAAAAGATCTCGAAAAGATATATCGGAAGCAAGTAACATTGAAATGGGTGTGAATATCGAAAGAAAATATTATATTAATATATATTATTTTTAGAAATGTTGTGATACTCTATTGATATGATACGTTTCTTTCGATATTTTTCTTCCGATACAAAAATACCGTGTATTTTTGTATCGAAAGAAACGTATCATATCAATAGAGTATCACAACATTTCTAAAGATAATTACTTGAATTATTCACGATTACCTCCGTCGTTTCCACCGTTCGCCTCTCTTCAACTCTCGCTTCCTTTTTCTAGACTCCCGAGAATCAGAATTCACCGTCGAGCTATTCGGAGCAGATCTTCGTGAAGAATCGATCCTGCACCGACGTCTTGGCCCTGGTCATCTTGCTCGCTCTCGTGGGCGGCTTCGTAAGTGATACCATTTGTATTACCTCCTACGTTTCTCGTAACGCCGCATCTCGCCGGCACGCTCGCTAAACGTCGCTTTTTCGCGATTCACGGCCCGCAGGCCTACATGATGACGAACGTGGCAAATAAGGGTGACATTTTCCGTGTGATAAATGGATACGACGATTGTGGCTTTGTCTGCGGCCGCGTGACCCCGAACCCTGAGATCAATCCTAGGGCGCAATGTAGAAAGGAAAACACCGATATGACGAAAAAACGGTGAGTGCGTTACATTAGGTTTATTCGTCTTAGCCGAACTAGCTATTGCACTTTTTTGCCTTTAGAGTGAAACAAGTGTGTAACTTAGCGTTGAAGGGAAGAGGAACGAAGTTCCATTGCAGCGCTAGTTCAGCTAAAACGAACAGGCCTATTGCGTTTCTACCACCCGCCGAGATGATGACATCCTAACTCGAATGGGAGGAAATTTCGACTTCGAAATTTCGGGACTCGTTCGTTTGATCTCAGATCGATTGATCGCTCTGCGTCTCGTTCAGGTATCTCGAGATAGAAATGGATGCTACCGGAGTGAAGAAACGCACGTGCGTAGAGAACTGCGACTCCACGGCGGAAAAACCAAAGTGAGTATCGCATGAAATAGAAACTCGATTTACAATTTTTCGTCCCTTCCGTCAACAATCGCACTTCTCGCCGTTGATTCAGTCGGCTAACTTAATCCTGAGAATAACATCCACGATCTGGACACGGAAGTAACATCATAGGTCTCTCGGGCATACATCATGAGAAAAATGGTAGAAATCGTGGTATTTTGCTCTATTATGAATTATTAAATTTATCAGACCGTTGAAAAATGAATCCGATTCAGGCGGCGAAATCGCGGAGCAGGCGCGCGAAACTCTCGATCGTTCTCGCTCACGATCTTAATTTCCCGTGTCTGTCTCGCAGAATGCAGTTCCTGAATCGCTGCGTGAATAAGCAGGTGTCCGACACCATCAACTCGATAATAAGGAACCTTCACTTGGATAGCTTTTACAGAGTAAGTGGATATTCCTGAGAACGTGTTTCTCGGATCCTCGAGATATTATTATCGTTATCTCCCGCCGTATCTTTCCGCGCGCGAGAACCTCTTAATGTCTCCTTTTGTCTTGATTTGAAATCACTGCCGCTTTTGTCTCGATTTGAGATCAATGCCGATTTAAGCCGATACCGGGGAACGCGATTCGATATCGTATGTTAGTCTCTTGTATATTCTCGGACATTTCCTTATCGATAAGAGATAGCTTATCCGATATTCCGGGAATATATTTCGCGTGTTATCTCAGTCCGTCTTTTCTCGCGCGGAAAATCCATACGGCTGTCATACGTGCCACGTTATAAGTAAAAAATGAAGAAGTATATTTTACCTGTGAAAACGTCACGCATCACGTGCGTCACTCCGGCGATGCCGGACAATCATCGTCTTATTTGAAAGCGCTTCTTCAAAATGGTCTATTTTGACCCTGGAATATTTTAGGACGACCCAAAATCGCGTCGCTTTCAAATCCTCTCCGATCATATTAACCCAAATCCCGAGGAGAGTTACTTGTTTCTCCACACACGTACACACCTATGTGATCTTCCGCGCGGTATCGACACGAGCGCGTTGCGCTCTCTCGAGCGAATAATAGACCGTACGTTTCGTTAGTCGGGCGAAGTAATCGAAGAGCGACGCGGCTTGTCGATATGACAAATTCGAGGGTAATTCAGCAAGTTATTATTGCAGGAGGCAGTCAACGATCTCGGGGTGGCTTGGCGCGAACTGGTCTATCTCTTGCTCATAGCCCTGGGTACGTATTCTCGCGGCATTGCGCGCGATATTTCAGAATCGTGTTATTTCAAGTCCCCGATCGAACGTTCAATTAAACACGGGAGCGCCGTGACGTGATTTACACGGCGTAATATAAATCGAAGAAATTCCAGATCGCATTTCTCCACGCGCGCGTGTGGCTACCGTTTGTGTGTGTATGTGTGTGCGATCGGCGCGGTTCTCTTCTTTTATCCGTGGATACGACACTCTCGTGTATTAAATTTCGGAAATAAGTTTTTACGCCCGGCGTCCGCGAACGACGCGCGGACTCGCGGAGTGATTGATTGTGCCCGATTGGTTTTTCAGCAATCTCCCTCGCCATCCTGGTGGCTTTCCGCTATTTGGTGCAATGGATCGTTTATATCGTATTGATCGGCGTAATTATCGCCTGCATCGGCGGCACGACGTACTTCTGGTAAAAAGGCAACCCGTTTCCATCGTTCCGGATTAAAGTCATAACGCCGGCGGGCGGGAATCGCACGCTTATTTTCCGACTCGACAATTGTGTCAACATGGCAAACACGTTTTATATATTAATACATTGATTATATTTTGAATTCTAATTATTATTTCGAGAACGCGGTATCAATATTGCAGTTTTAGCCGCGCTCGCGTATAATTTCGCGGACGAGGCGCTGTGATCGATTTCACCTTTGCCGAACAGGTTGGCGTGGTACCAGGAAAATAATGCCGTAAAAGCGAACGCCATACCCGCCGAGGACTCCAGCGTGCAGCCCTACTTCGTCTACGCCATTATTATGTCGGTCGTCACGGTAAGAGGGACCGTTGCATACCTGTGTTGTGCTTTCCCATGAACAATCGTACACACATACTCACAATCGCACGCGTGTCTCGCAGGCAATCATACTCCTGGTGGTCCTGGTGATGAGGAAACGGATCGCGCTGGTCATGCAGCTCTTCCGAGAGGCGGGCAAAGCGGTGTGCGCGATGCCGGCTCTGCTGTTTCAACCGATCTACGTGAGTACATCTCGATTCAATTACACCCAGGGCCGTATTTCGTTCGGTCGCGCAAAGAACCTCGCAAGCCTCGAAATTCTATTTTCAGACGTATCTGCTGATCGGCTTCACGATGATAGCGTGGATCTATTTTATGCTATGGATCGAGAGCGCCGGCGACATTTATGAGAATAAGAAGCATCACATTCACTTCCGGAAGGACGGCCTACTCATCGTACGTGAGCACATTTCACCTCTTTCATCTCCGACTGTGTGATCGCGATATATTTCGTTAATAATGGATCATTAATGGACACTGATCCCCCCAGGCGACGAGATGGTACAATCTGTTCCTCTTCTTCGTGGCGTGCGAGTTCTACCTGGGCTGTCAGCACTTGCTCGTCGCTTGCGCCGTCGCTCGGTGGTTCTTCACGAGGTGAGTCAAGCAGAGAAAAGTGCACGGTGTACAGTCGGCATGATAAAAGTTTCAGCACTTCCTTTTTCCGATGAATTTCCACAATCCCGATGTCCGATAGGAGAATTCGTTTTTCACAGTAATTCTAAAAAAAAAAGCATTTCCCTGGATACGCATTGCGAAACTCATCGGGGAAAATAGTGCGTTGCAACTTTTATTATGTCGACTGCTACGGAGCAAAGCGTCGCTATGCTTTTACGGTTGGAAAAAACAAAGTGGTCTGCTCTTTTTGGCTGAACTGACTGCACCAGTTCGGGAAATTTACATGCACATTGAAGGGTACGTACACGAGATTCTCACGCGTGTATGTAAATTTCTTGAACTAGTGCAGCCGGTTCAGCTAAAAAGAACAGACCAACGGTTGCCTGATAATTATGTAAATGTAGCTTCGTCGGTTTCAACTTCAAGCTCAATGCCGTCCGTTCGACTCGTTTGGAAATCGATCGTTAAGCTTCTTCTCGGTGATATCCTCGTTTGTTCCCTCCACGGAAAAATGAATGAATTTTGTCTCAACAGGGATAAGAAGCGCCTCTCCTTCGCGGTGACACGCGGCTTCGGATACCTCGTGAGATATCATCTGGGCACAGTCGCTGTCGGGGCTCTGTTAATAGGCATCGTCCGGCTAATCAGAGCCATGATTTCGTTCGTCCAAAATCATCTGAAGCGCTACGACAACGGCTGCGTGCAAGGGATACTCTGGTGTTGCCAGTGTTGTATTTGGTGTTTCGAGTGTGCCCTGAAATTCCTCACCAGGAACGCTTACATCGAAACAGGTGACTGGAGCGTGTCTTGCGTACAATCGGCGTTATATATGCCGTGCCATTTCCTAGATTGAAAGTTACGCAATTTTTAGTTTTATAGGTATACGTATAAGATTAAAACCGTCATAATTAGAGCTAATATCTAACTCTATCATTATAATTAGTTATTTACTGCCACTTAGCGTCCCTTAGATTTAAACTTCTTACTATTACACAATTTTTAGTTTTCCACACGTAAGATTTGAAACTATTAAGATTAGAGCCATTACGACTTCCTACCATTATAACTGGAGTTACTTCTACGATTTTCAACGTTATGCAACATTGTGTGTAAGGCTGAAAATCGTGTAACTCTCCGTTTAGGGAATGGTATAGCGTACATGACGTCAACCGTTTGTTTGTACGCACAAGGTCGAAGCTATTATTATGATTAGAGCCATTATAACCTTATCATTATAAAACTTCTATGATATCAACTTTGTGCCTTATGTATAAAGATGAGTACGCACTGAACAAACGAATAACGAACGAACAGTGAATGTACGATATGAATGTGTATATTCGTGCATCATGATTGTCGATTAATCGGCAGTGATACTTCAAAATAGCAATCTTGATGCACAAATATTCGGAAATGACGTGCCTGATTGGAAATTTCCAATGTCACATGCTTAAGGGCTGCATTAACGAGGTCTTCTCTACCGTGACGTAGCTAGAGATTCGAGTCATTCACCAATTGCGAGTTTTCCTCTGTAATTTTCCCGAGCTACTACATGTGACATCAACAACGACTTTATTCATTCGTTGCGATTTTGTACTCACGAGTAACAGTACACCATGTTTTCAGCCATATATGGATGCAACTTTTGCACGAGCGGAAGAAAGGCCTTCCAAGCTCTGTCGAGCAACGTTCTGCGAGTGGCGGCGATCAACAGCGTGGGCGACTTCGTTCTGTTCCTGGGTAAAGTTTTGGTTATCACCTTGACCGCTATTTCGGGAGTGTACTTGATGCAGGTACGAGTCGCGATCATCAGCCTCTTGACTTGGTCGATTTTTAGAAATCCGTATACTGAAATTTCGTCTCGTGTTCGTTTCGCAGAAGAAAGAGGGTCTTCATCATCCCTGGGTACCAATCACTATTGCGGGGATATTCGCGTTTTTAGTCGCGCATTGCTTCATTTCTATTTACGAGGTGAGTGACTTATATAACAGCGCGATTAGAGGTTGTGGTATCATGAAAATATCGGTACTAATGTTGGAATGGCTATCTAATCAAGAGTGTCGATGTCATTAGTAATACTAGTACCGGAAGAAAAATATCGATATCGATACTCTGATGATGTCGAAACTTAAAAAACGTAAAATTAGAGGAAATATAAAAATCGGGGGAATGTTTGCCTTGCAAATTACTTTTATGGATTTCGTACGTCTATGCATAATATATATTTTTATATTATAATAATCTTATTATAATATAAAAATACCTCTATCTTTCTCACTAGACTTTCCGTGGTTTGTGAATTTAAAAACCTAAAAAAGGATCGTTAAAGTTCCCCTGTCGTCGTTATGACTGTCCTTGTTTGATGATATCAGGAGCGAGAAATTATGTGCCAAAAATTATTGCGTGGAACAAAACAATACACGTACAAATTGACACTCGTGATCGACTCCGCATACTTGTAAAAATATCCGGACGCTTTCCTTTTACTTCGGCAATCAATAAATAATAAAGTGAAATTAACGTAACAGAAATCATGAGAAAAGATAGTTTAAAATGCAAGTTGCGTGTCACATTAATTTTCACGGAACAGAAATATATGATATCTTGAAAATCGATTGAGTAAAAAATAAAAAAAGATATCGGAAGGAAGAATCAATATAAAAATATCCGGTATCGAAAGAAAAATACCGATACCACTGCTATATCAATAGTTATCGTATCTCTAAGCGCGATAGATGACACGCTATTGATGACTAATGATCCGCTCTTTTCCAGATGATCATCGACACGATATTTATATGCTTCTGCGAGGATTGCGAGAAGAACGACGGCGTCGGCCGACCTTATTTCATGAGCCGCGGTCTGATGGTTGGTATCGACTATTACAACGCGCGTCTATATTGCAAATATTTCGAAATTCCCCCGAGGAGTTTCCGCTCGTGAAAATCAAATTCTCTTTCTCCCTCAGGAATTCGTGGAGAACAGTAAGAAAGCTCTGAGGCATTTGGATCAGCGGCAGGAAACCGCTGCTACGTAACGAGCGTCAAGGATATCGTTCGAGTGTTCCCGTGAAGCACGGGAGGGAGAAGTGCCGCGCGAAGACTCGAAGATTTCAGTTGTAAATGCAAGACTGGAAAAAATTCGGAACGACGAAGAACGCACCGTCGGAGTTCCTCGCGACGGTGATTTCCTCCGACGAGTGCGGGCCGAATCGCGGACTGAAGATGATATGAAGATGATGTGGAATTTTTTTTTTACTGCGCACGCACACAAGATGTCTTCTTGTATAGAGTTACCGAGATCGTTCCGCGTCAACGCAACGCGGCGATCGAACAATCGATCGTTCTCCCGATCGACCCTCGACGGACTGATTTACACTTACGAAGAATGTTTGCGAGTCATTCTATTTTCGAAGTTCCTCTTTCTAAAAAGATTTACGGCCGCTACGATAAATACTTTTTTATATGATCGCAGAGAGAGAGAAATTCTGCGAACTTAGTTAATGTAGATGCAATAAGTGAATTATATATAGTTGCCGCGAGCACGCCGCAGTCTAAATTTGCTTCGAATCGCACTCGAAGTGATGATTGACGAACAAATTAATTTACGGTACGCCTTGGCGCCGCTCTTGAATACGCAAAAGTTTATACACAGATGAGTGTACACTCGGTTCGAACGCTCTTTCACGATGCGGTTTGAAGTGCAACCGTGATTCGACAGGAAACTTTTGGAGATTGATGAAAAAACAAGTTCTCTCATTGAACCATCGGCTACGTGTCTAAGCTACATCAAAAAAGAAATGCTCGAATCAAGTGTACCCATACAGGTAAAAAAGATGCTAGATTCAAAACTAATTATTCCGGTACTCGTTAGCAAATTTCTCCTGGATAAAGTCTTTACTTTTGATTCGATTAAAATATTTACTCGATTCAAATAAAATCTACTTAATCCAAATAAAAATCGGCCGAGGAGTAATTATTTACTTGAATCTGGCGCTTTTTTCTTCTGTGTACTTTCCCGCTGTAAATACGTTTCTTTTTATGACGAAGTGCCTATACAAATAAGCTGGATTTCGTTAGAGTCCACTTCACGAGATCTATATTCGCGACATATGTACATACACAAACACAAAATTCTATTAATCAAGTCCTATACGCCACTTTTGTACACATCAGATGATAAAAATTCACAGATGTATTCGATGCGTGCAACGTTTATATATAATGCGAATTATTATATAGCTTGTATAAAGGCGAATTCTTTAAGTGCTTTTCTCTTACAAATAGAGTATTGCTCCAGGTTTTGCCTCGTCGCGATTATAGCTCGTCTAAAGTGTCCTCGAGCCGCGACAGTTCAATTTCAGTACAAATGCCGTTAATAAGATATATACGATATCAAGAGTTCGACCGAAGCTCGTTGTAGATTACTATACAGTTGCGTAATTTCGACAGAGATCTATATGCAGAGATTATAATATTGCATTGTACGTTATTGTGAAGTGATTAGTGTACGAAAGTTACGAAATTATAAAGATTTACGACATATACATTCCACATGGTGCTGACCCGACACTTCATTTCGTTGCTACAGCTCCGTACAAGAATACGAAAAAATTACTGCTATACTTGAATATACTAATATATTTGGTATATTGAAGAACCATTGTTTTTCAATATACTACACCACCCAGATAGACAGAAATGTTGAACATAGTATACAAACATATAATGTATGCTTTGTGATGTCATGTCATACAGCGTATCGTGTTTGAAATTGCTTATTTAAAAAAACTCATTTGTTACGCCATAATTTTAATCCAAGTATCGACTTTTTATTACTGTAATAATTCCGGATTAATTGCGTTCTCTTTCTGGCAAAATAAGCAGCAGCATACTTATGGCATCAAAATATCGCCGTAATTTTCACGGAATCAGATGACTTCTTTTACATACTGACAAAATTCTTGTATGAGAACGCATCTTAACGTATTTAGGCTATAATCATGATGAAAACAATAGGCAAAATATGTCTATCTAGGTAATTTGATGTTGAAGAACAATAGATCTTCAATAGTATACCAATAATTTTGCCGAAAGACTAATGTTTTTGAATACTACACTAGTAATTTAGTATTGAAGGACAATTATTCTTCAATAGTATCTCTGTTGAAAAAAAAAAACCAAGTGGGTTCCCGTGAAAAGTATCCATACAGGAAATGGTATCCAACTCATAGATATCCATACAGGAAATTCAAAATCCACATAGGAATCTACATGGTTTCTTACCTAGAACTTTTGGCCCAAAATCCATAGGGGAACCATCAGATTCCATATAGATCTCTTGCATGGATCCCTGGTTTTTCAACAAGGATACCAGTAATTTTTTCGTAGTTTTCTTTTTTTTTGTACGCGGCCACTTACTTCCTTCTAATCTTCCGCCGAGCGCAAGAGGCTCGCAACGTCGTAGATACCGAGGACTGAAAGAACTTGGAGAGGAACAGAGAGAGCGGTAATTGTCACGGTGCAGCAGGCGTTAACTTTGTCATTTTGAATTTATTTCGTCCGGATGCGCACAACAGAGTGCATGAACGATCATGCTGGCGGTATACAGAGAGATTGATTTCATCGCGTCTTTTATGCCGGTTTAGCGAAGAGAGCGCGTGTCGTTAATTCTTTTCTTTTCGAAACACACTCACAGCTGGCAGTAAATCGGGATGACGAGAGCCGGATGCTAACGGGTGATTCAGGGGGCGGAGTGTTATCGTTGAGGGGCTTTGGTCTGTTCAGGCCGGATGGACGTTAGAACGAGTGTGACAAGTAGACCGTTTCGGAGAGAATTCTCTCGGCGCTCGCCGCGGCGCGACGACGGCGAAGACGACGACGATGATGTTGCTCGAAGCATCGAGCGGCTCCCGCGCTCGAAAAGGGGAGACGAAATGAATGAGCAGCGTGACAGCGAACGAAGCCGAAAAGACGAGGCTCGCTACGGAATTACATGCGTCCAACGCGGCGCTTCATCGTGACGCACAACGAAAAAACATGTGTGTGCGTGTACGCAGAAAAAAAATTGTCTTAAATCAACGATGGATATTCTAGGCAAGAATATTCATTTTAAGATTTTTAGAAGTTCCGAAGAAGTTCTGAATCGTGCGCAAGTGATACTTGCATGAATGCAAATTCAATCAAATCAAGACTAAAGATCTTCTAAGATTATAATATCCTTGCAGGATGTCTCAGTTCTTGCGACTTTTGATTTTACCGAGAGGTTCTCTGAGCAATTTCGAGTCAACTTTTCCTCAACGGAAATGTCGTGATATTAATAGTTTTTGAGGTACAGGCGATTTGAAAAAGCGGAGCTTCGAGCGACCAAGTGGGCAACAAAATTATTTTCTCCGATTTATTTCGATAATTTCTTTAATTTAACAAAATCTTAATTTGAGACTTGACCAAAAAGATATATTGAAGACTGGCAAGTTTTCATAAATAATGGACCTACCTCGATATTTTCGCTAGGGAAAAATTAACTCTAAATTGCTCAGGGAATCTCTCGGTGAAATAAAACATCTCGAGAACTGGGACACCATGAATATGAGAATATCTGTTCTCGTTTGAAGACTAATTTTTTTTTCTGCGCACCTTACATGAAAAGCCACAGTATGGAGATCGACGTTCTGTCTCTTACAGCACGAAAATACTTTATATTTCTCTTTCCTTCCTTCTCAATCTCTCCCTTTGTTATTTACTGCTAACAGCTCGCCCGGGGTGAGTGAGTTCTCCCAGACATAGGAAAATGCCAAAGATATGTACACGGAAGAGAGACACTTTTACTCTATTTGCAGCTCCAGAATATACGCAATTGTGAGCTTCGCTTCGCGAAAGAGACGCTCTTGCGCGATTTACACAAATATATATATATATATATATATATGTATATATATACGTATATATTATGTATACGCGTGTAGAACCGACACAAGCCGCGCGACGATCCTTGGGAGATCCTGCGAGGGAATTTCGCTTGAGCTATTGCGTTGATCGTGCCAAGATGGATTGCTCTGCCCTTTCGTCGGTGCAACTACTACTACAACAACAACAACAACAATCCTCGTGTGCGATCGTTCGCAGCGGGGAGAGAGAGTGGTTCTTGTAGCTCCGATAAAAGTCTTGTATCGCTTTCCCCGAGATTATTATTATTATATTCCGTACACCGAGAAATAACGTTTAATGCCCATGCACACCGCGCGATGTGATTAGCTCCGAGTTTTCCGAGTTAGAATCCGTAGTAGTAGTAGTAGTAGTAGTATGTTTAGCTAGGGTGAAAAAGATAAAATCGAGTCGAATCTTAAAATCAACGACTACCGGCACAAGGTACTTGGCTTTGTACGACAGTATTGCACTTTGTAGCTAGCGCAAACTTAGGTCTGTGTGAATCCTTACGAATTATTCATTTTTGGTCTCGTTAGGTCATCGTCATCGTACGACGCGGTAGGTAGGTAGGTAGGTTGATAGGTTGGACAGGTAGGTATATAAGGTGGTGGTCTCGAGAGATGTCGTCCGAGTTCATTGCGGGATTCTTCAGTCTTTATCAAAGAAGTTACAATGCGAAACGCGCGTCTCGCGGACTGCCGCGAGCTTATATAATAAACAGGCAAACGAGGAGAACAACGGGGGGG